CGCCCTCCCCCCTCCGTGTACCTCATCCAAGTGCTGTAAGGCACAGTGTTGGAGTGCACCACCACTTGCCTTTATGTAAACAAAATTTACTCTCTATACGAAGCCTCTTCAAAATGTGTGCTTCCATCCAGCACCACATGTTCACCAGATCAGTTCCAGTGCTAGCTACACCTCAACAAATGCTTCTTCCCCCAAGAACATCAGCTTATCACAGAAAACAGACACCAGCAGTTTATCACAGAAAACAAACATCAGCTTATCACGGAAAATAGGCCTGCACTCCGATAACAGTGATTACATGGTACAAAAATTAAATGTTAAAATACATTCCATTATTTAAATATTTCAAATCAATCAAGTATTTTACTTTCAACAGAGATAAAAGTACTCCAAGTTTTGCGAAGTGCAGCTGCGCATCTTTTGCTTCGAATTCAGAATTTTTTTTCTGGAACTCATGAAAAATTTTAGGAAAATTAATCCTTTTAGAAAATTCTAGGCACGAAAAATTGAATTTTCACACCAGATTTTCAAAGGAAATTTTAAATTTTTATGGATTTCTCAATTTTCAGGATTTGCGGAAATTTTTCAGCTCTTCGGAATTTTTAATTTCCAAATTCAAAGGAAGATTTTTGGAATTTTGATTCTACCGGAGCTCGTTATCTATTTTGCAAATAGCAGTTAGAATTTAGGGTTTTTCAAATAATTTTTCAACCACTCTGGACGAGTTCTACAGCATTTTTGCCAAATTTCATAGTCGGCCAAATCCAAATCCCCTAACCAGGTCCTTTTCTAGAATGAAGAGCGTGAGAAAAACGGACTCCATGTCTGCATTCTCGACAGTACTTGGGAAAGAGGGTGAGTACTGTACTTTGCCCAGTTTTATCCAAGTAACTTTCCATTTTCCCCCATTTTATCCCACAATTTTTAAATGCCGAGTTATTTAGCTCCTGATAATGTAAGCCCTTCTGGATTCGTCAATACCCAGTTGGTAACCTTTCCATATTCACGCTCTACGAGAAGCGGTGGTAGGGGAAATATTGCGAGGGTAGGAAGTGCCATTTCGTCTTATCACATAAGACTATAATGTGTGACTGTGATCTGATAAAACAGCATGCGACCAGTGCTTTTCAATACACTATGCAATATTATCATCGACAGAATGCTTTTAAGCAACAAAAAAACTATTTTAAAAACAAAGAAAATAAATAAAAGAAGCTAATAAAACATAAAAAGGAAATAAAGCTATAACGAGCATCCTGATGGAAAAATTCGCTCAGTTCATGCAGCAGCTGATGATCAGTTATACACTAAAAAATTTAGCAGCTAAAATAAAAAGCTCCAGCTATAAAATCCTCTGCTAGGAGAACCAACAGAGCAATCCCTTCAGGAAGCGAAACAAATATCAAAATCGCCAGCATACTGATCAACCAGCATTGGTCAGAACAACTGAAACAGTGGTCAGTTACAAGACTATGACTACAGTACTAACCCGATGTCCCAAAAAGGAAATAAGTCCCAACTAAATATAATGCACATACATAAAACGAAGTGAAAAACTGTACCACCCGAATGATTTGTTGTTTAAGGACGCATAAGTCTCATTAAAAAAATAAAGGAAAAATATGAGAATAAGGGAATAAGGGAAATAGGAGTAGATAAGGGAATAAGGGAAAATAAGGGAGGGGAATAGCGGTTCAGGGGACTTCTCTATGCGCCTTCACTTCTTTTATACTCTTATTTTCCCCTATTTTCCTTTTAAGGAAAAATAAGGGAGAAATAAGGGTACACAGAAAAGTAACAGCAATATAAATACAGAAAGAAAAAAAATCAAAACTATTATTTAAAATACATATGTTTTTAAATATTTTTGGTAGTAATAGCTAGCATTAAGCATTTTCAGTCCAATAAGTCGTACTTGTTTTCTGCTAGCACCACGACTGGACCTGGTCAGTACAGCGGTTACATAAGTTTGAATTTTGATATCAGGTTTTAAAAGCCACTGCTCACAAGAAAACATAAGTGTATTCCTCCATTCTCCGTAATGAGTAAACGTAAAATCGGTGACGAAAAGTGAAAATGCAGTAGTGTAGATGGAAGAGATGCTTTGCTTCGATCACCATCAACAGCTGTCTTCTCTGGCATCTCAAAATTGAAGACCATTTGGTGATGATCAAACGGGACGCTCAGCGAAATTCAGGATGTGAAAGTCGTCTGGTTGTCTTCTCAGTCGTCCTGGTTATCTTCTCACACATTTTTCATTCGGATTTTGGCAGACTCATTCTGGTGGTCAAAGAAAAGTGTTTTTGTGGACAGATGCGCTTTTCGTGGACAGATGCGCTAAGGTTTTATCACTTTTCCAGTTATAAATGCACAGTCCCGAACAGCCATATCCCTCCTCCGCCGGCAACAGCGGTGTCTGTCGTGAAAATTCATTGATGCACATAACTCAATAAGCCTCTTTGGGCACATTTTCTAGGAAAGATGCATGTGGAAAATTGGTTACATCAAATGAACTGTGTTCTGTGTGAGTGAGTGAATGAAAGTTCCAGATGGTCTAATAGCTTGTTCCCAGAATGAGTCATAGCACACATCATGGAGCATAGATTGTCGAAGCAGAGGGGAGAATTCTCGAGCTGTGCAGAGTTAATCCACTCAGCGCCCTTCTTCCTCCTCCTCCTCATCCCTCAGTGAAGAGCTAATGAGTGACTGCTTACGACAGTGGATGAGGCATCCAGGATTTTCCAGATCACCTCACAAAACCCACACCGACGAGTTCTCCCTCCTTTCCTTGTCTTATTCCAGCTGCTGCTGCGTCTTCTGTTTCACCAACTTAATGGGAAACACATGCAAAATATGCGTGATAAACGGTGGTACATTTTTTTAAACAAAAAAACCAGTGATTAATTATTTCTGTCCCGACAATTCTCGGCGTCCCAATAACTTCCTTCAAGATTTTGCAAATTATTTGTGTTTTCAAAGTCGAGAGAGTTGGAGCAAAAAAAAAAAAAAGATGGCGATTTTTTATGGGAAAATATGAAATATTAACGAGAAAGAATAAAAAATTTGGCGAAAAATTAAAAGTTTAATTTCTTAGTTGCTTCAGTGGATTTACCAGCGCGGCGAAGAGTGAAAAAAAAAGTGAAGAACAATCTTAAAATCAAAGGGCTACGATTCGTGAAAAAAAAAACGTACTTAAGAAAAGAAAGAAAAACTAATAATGATTCATTTAATGTACAATATTAAACGTTAAGCAAATTATTACTTTTAAACAGAGATGTAAATACTACATTAAAAAAAGATTGAAAAAAATGTTGAGAAAATTTGAGGATTATCTTAAAAGTGCAAAAAGTTAACCAACACTTTTTTCAGCTTATGTAACTAGCACTTAAAGTAACGTATCCAGAATGTTTTTTTTTTAAAGTGATAAACTTAGCTGTTTTAGCTAGCGAAAAACTATGGAAACATTAGAAACCCTTATTTGAAGTAACATTTCAATTAGCAGCAAAAAAACTTCTAATTTACAGTATAAAAGTTTGGAAACTGAACAAAATTTGAGCAATTCTGGGGAATAAAAATACCAAAAATAACTGAAAAAAAACTTAGGTAAAAAACAGAAATTAAAAAGCAAAGTTAATTCAGCATGTGCTTTCAGAAATACAAAAAGTCAATTCTGGAAACTTAATTATTAAAATCTGAATCCTTCGCTCAGCATTTTCCAAAAATGTTCAATCGTAAAGTATAAAAATTGCTCGTTGGCGTGCGAAAAATGCATGAATTGCAAAGGATGGGGAGGAAATTGAGGATGTAAATGAGGACACCCTGAGCAACTGTCATCCCCACTAATGAAGCTGTGTAAAAATGTCCGGGGAATGGGCGCTGGCAGGGAAGAGATGTCAATCTCGAATGTCGCGGGATCAATCGCTATGATTTCAAGAACTGACTCATTCGCAGTGACTGAAAAAAAAAAAAATTTCCGAAGTGAGTGTTGAATGCGGTGACCTACAAAAACTGACCTGTAATTTGTAACGACGCAAATTGACTCATACATTACTACACACAGCCGGCCCTAAATGGCTTCAATTTTGAGTGCAACCGAATGGACAACTGTCAAGGATTACCGAAACTGGATGAAACTGTCACGGAAATTAGACTGAATCATAAAAAAACTAAGATACTGCATGTAGTTAACAAACAGATCATGGTATTCTGTGTTTCATCCCTTAGCTGTAAATACAAAAACAGCAAAAAGTGAGGGTAAAAGTAGGAGTTATCACTACAGCCTCTTATCCACCATATAGAAGCGTGAATTAATCATTGAAATCAAGTTGCGAGAAAAAATTTAACTTGATATAAACTTGCTATTCTTGGGTCTTGGGGTTTCTTGGGTCTCGATGATCTGGTAAATCACTGCTTATTATACTGGTATAATTATTTCCCGCTTATTAGCGCTGCTGCAGTTATTAACACCATTATTATTATTATCATTATATTTGTTGCTATTATCATTAGTGTTATCATTATTACTACTAATATCATTATTACAATTATTGCCACTGCAATATACATTAACTTTTTGTGAATAGGAAAAATCATAAATCACAAGCACTTATCAATAAAAGAATGAAGTTATTATCACAGGACGCATGATTGTCCCCTTTGAATCCATCGCCTGTCTTACTAGTTTTTTTTTTTTTTTTTGCTGCTACTCCCATTCCTGCCGCGAACTAGTTCTTCACTTTTATTCATTATCCTGCCACTGTGAAAAGCCAAGCGATTACGTAACAAAATATTATAATTTTCCTTTCAAAAACTCCGGAGAATGTTATCAAAAGTACCAAAACCACCGGACAATCGATACAGGAATTCCATCTTAATTATATTACTGAGATAATCGCACACGCCGGGCGCAGCTGGACCCCATATCCTTCGATCCTGAGCTACATATCTTTAGTTAGTTTAGATTTAATTTAAATTATTTTGGTTAGTTCAACTTAATAAAAACTTAAATATCAAATCCAATTATCAAATTTTAATTCAAATATTATCTCAAAACATGATGTTTTCAAACTATACGATTCCAAGTTTTTAAATTTCAAATTTCCGATCGATTTTAACGGCGCAGTCAGGCAGGACGGCCGTTAAACGATGTGGCACTGATAAAGAAACATTAATTCATCAAAATGATTAATGCGAGA